ACATGAGTAATAGTGGTGTATAGTTGTAGGTATACATCTGTACGTAGACGACGGTCATCACATGTTGTCTTTCCCAATCAGATATTGATTTAAAAATTCCTCCAACAGGGTGTAGAATAATATGAGCACAGTAGTAAATGATATTCTTATTATATTAAAAACCACGCTAGCTCGATAAAATTATCGGCATTCCCCTATGTTGTAAATTATTGTTGCTGTCACCTGATCGACGGTGTCAGAAAAAGGCCCGCAAAATTCGTCGTGGCAAGGGGCTACTTCTACGCCTGCCAATAGCCGTAACTTTGAGCACCATGCAAGTGACAGTACGATTTGGTTCGGTTCCATTCCACTTTTGAGGGAGAACACCTTGGGGGCTTCCCACCTCTATTCTCCATTGACCAACCTCACGACAGGACTTAAGGGTTGACGAATATTTAGAGTATCCCCATGCCATACAGGCACTATATATGCCTTCTCCGGGATTCGAACCCAAACCCTATGGCACAGCAGTCAGCGTCACTAACCACTATACCGGATGAGCGGCTGCAATAAATTTTCAAAATGTTTTGAGCTAGCATTCTTTATATATTCAAGGACATCAAATATGGCATAAATTGCTTTGCAATATTGCAGATATTAGAAAAGTGCCGCATCTCTGGAACTCGCGAATCTATTACGTGCGATTGTGACGACTAAGTTGAAAAATCTCACCTTCGTAGTTGATCTTGCCGTCGTTGTCGATATCCGTGGCTCGTATCATCAAATCCAGCTGCTCTTCTGACATTGGTTCGCCAATCATTTCCATGGCGGTTCGGAGCTCGTCCTATAAATGCGTAAATACACAAAGTTATTGTTTAATCTCTGCAGTGATGTGTGTGTTGTTTGTAATATGGGAAAAGTACAATAGCTGAAAATATACGTTTCTGAAGAATGAAATGGCTTTGTATGAGATTAAGAGTAGTCATCCAAAAAGGGATTGACCAATTAATTTTTTTTTTTATTAAGGTATGCAAGTATGAAAAAAGTTCAACGGAACATCACTTACCCGAGTGATGTATCCATTTCTGTCTTTGTCAAACACCCTGAAAGCCGCCATGAGGTCAGCCATAACGTCTTCTTGGACACTCTGGTGGGCCATCCAAGAGAGAAATTCGTCTTCACTCAGTAGGCGATCACCTTTGAAAATTTAAAGGATTATTTTATTATAAATTTGGAATCGTAATTACTTGGCGACAAATTGACGCTAAATGTTGCTAACTTGCCAAGTTTCGAGCCAAAAATATTTTCTCCGAGACAAATCTAGAAGAATCTAGAATGATTGTTTGAGAAGATATGACTATAGAATAGTAAAGAAACCTATATAATGACCATTTGTGGAGTTCAAAGGAAATTGTCCTTTTTTATTGGGTGTGTGTGTCGATCCGATATTGTGACTCCGGATGTTTCATGATTGTGTGAACTTCAAATTGATGATATTGTGGATTCATATACGTATGCTAATTGTTTCTTGTTCGCAAAATATGTTGAACTTCCCGGAGAGTTCGAGAATAAAATTCCAATTGATCTATAATCAGATTACACTTAGTGCATCAGTTTAGTTTGTCAGAGATTAGGTTTTTGATTTTTATCTATTTTATCATTTCCTTTAAAAAAGGGTTTTAGGAATTTGCAAAAAATTAATACAATACACAATATTTTTATATGCAATATTTATTGCATATGTACAATATAAAGCACACATTTTTTAACTTTTAAACGAAATATTCACAAAAAATTAATGTGAAACTTTATATCATCAAAGTTATATTTCATTATTTGATAACAGTTTTAATATTTTTTATGCATATTACCCTAATCCTCAATTTTTTAATGACTTTGAACGCATTAAATTCAAAACAGGTTTCCCAATTTATATCAGGATTACACGATTACGATGTAACGAATCACAACAGAAAAAAAAAGAATAAATAAGATCTGATTCAAAATACAAAAAAGTGCCCCATTTGTGTGATTAAGATTTTTTTAAAACAGTTAATATACTAATAACTTTCCTTTTCTGATGATTTAAATAAATATTAAGAAAGTAAAGGTTAAATTATAAAGATTTTCACAATATTTTCTAATGCTGTAAAAGATATAAAGTTGCTTATTCGATTTCTTCGTACAAAATGATCCGTAAATAAATATATACAAAATTCCATTTTTAATTTTGGTATGAATTTCTTAAGTTCTGACGAATTAAAATCGTCAGAAGCTGTAAATAACTATCAATTAAAAATTCATCAATAGTTATGCAAAAAATTATCCATTAAAAAATCGTCTGTGGTTATCTTAAATAAATGCTATTAACATAAAAGAAATAAATTTTTACTTTTTATTATTAAAAAAAATGTGAAAATATTTTTAAAATATCACGTAATGCAATTTAAAATTCTAGTTACCGAATATATTATTCTACTCACCTCTCTTGCTCGCTTGATCAATAAGTTTTCCAACCATAGTGTCAGTAAGAACAATGCCCAGTTTTTCCAGCATACACTTGATCTCGTTTTCATTCACGCGACCATCCTTATTCTTGTCCAGCATCGAGAAGGCGGCCTTCAATTCTAAAACACAAGGAAAGGTGGAACTGAAGTTAATGGAACTCTTGCTCATGTTTGTATGGAAATAAGCGGTTCTTAATCTTACAATGATTGTTCGTATTCGCAGTTCGAGTTCGTATAGAACTTGATAGGAAGCTACAGTTTTAAAGTTAGAATTTCAGATTTTATTGAAAATTTACTGAAAATAAAATTCCATTATGATTCTTTTTCAACACAATACTTTTTCAAAATTATTTTTGGGTGCTACAATTACTTGAAAGAAATTCAAAAATATTGTAAGATCCAAACAAAATGATCGTATTAAAGAATTAAAAAGATCATATGAAAGAATATATAAATATTAGAAGAAAGCTGAAATATATATATATACATATTTGAATTGTTAAAACAAGATCATTACATGCATTTAAACTTTAAGGATAATAATTAGTTCAATAAAATGCAGATGCACGCAATAGGCTAAATTTATGTGACGTCATAGTCACATGATAACTGCTATCACCCATTTACAATCAATCAGTTCATGTGCTTCATTACTCCCCTCCGAACCTTTTCTTTTTGCAGAAACTCCCTTTTAAAAAGGTACAAATTTGTCAATATTAGTAAAGGTAAACAAAATGCACGACTTAGAAATACTCGTATTAATTAAGAGTTTTTTTTAATTAAAATTTTTTTTTTTTTTTCAAAAATTTTAATATTAGAATATCCTTACCAAATCTGGATTGTATCTAAATTCTATAAGTAGAACAACAAGTACAAGGCTAATGTCAGATTCGAATTCAATGGAGATCACGTGATTTCAATTATCACATGACCGTCTTGAATTTCGCCCATTTTTAAAGAAAGGAATTAAGAAAGTAATGAGAGTAGAAAGCACAAAAACGAAATATTGGTAAAAATCAGAAATGTACGATATACAAATTGTGAGATGAATAAAAGAAAAAGAAAGTGAAGTTAAGAAAAAGAAGTGTCAGTTAAGGGGAATATTACTCTCTTAATTTTATAATATTGAAGATATTATCACTGCAAGGAAACAATCGAATTCGTCGGCAATTAATATGGTTCCTGGCTTAATTTCAAATATTAATACTGCATATATTGCAAAAATAGTGTATTTTTTCCAACGTCGAATATTCTATTATATATATATATATTACTGTTACATTCTGTCACATTTTTTTTATTTGCTTGAAACTGATTTAGTATTGAAAGTTTTGATTTTGATGGATCTAAAGCTGCATCTGTAAAATAATAGTTCAGATTGATTGATTGAATATTAACGTCGCACTGTTCAGCTTCACGAGGGCTTTTGGCGACGGACCACGTAATTTTGAACCATGGTCAAGTGACGTGGACGACACCTGAGCTGGCACCACTAACTACCACACCACACTTACGGGAGAACGTTTCAGCTCTCGACAGATTTAACGTGCGGGTCTTTAGTGGTACTGGGCACGAACTCGAGACAAAGCAAGCCACGGTCCGATACCTATACCACTCGGCTACCGCGGCCACAAAATAATGGTTCAAATAATTCTGGATGCAATTTGATGACAGGGTACACAATCGAAAAGAGAGAGAGTTCGAATCTTATTTAAACTATAAATCTCGCCAATAGACAAATTTAGCCTTTTCGTGTCCAGCGTGAAGTTAGGCTTAAGGATCTAGTTAATATTTAAAGTTCGATAACTTACTGTTAAGCCTAAAAATTATCTATTTGCCTTCCAAGATTGAGACTATTGTATTATCTGAATGAAACAGAAAGCATTTACAAAAGAATAAAACATTAAAAAAATTTTATCAGCATTTTTTCGCAAAATTTACAAATTACTTCTATTTTTTTCTAATTCGCAAGCAAATGGCTGAAATATACATAATGCAATCAGACGAAAAGCTTCCTTGTTTTTTTTATTCTTTCATATGCATTTTATTGCTTTCCAATCAATGTAATAGTCTAGTTGAGGTAAGAAGATATTCCATAGGACCATTATTACTCCCAAAAATCAAAAGGGCTGTCTTAATATTGCGAAAAATAATCTTGTATGAAATAGTGATGCCACACGTATGTATATATTTCTTCCTCTCTGTGGAATAAATATTCGTAAGGAATTTATGAAATATGCAATGAAAAAAATTATAAAATTCTCCCAATTGATTTAAAACGAATGAACTAAAACACATTCAAACGACGGGGAACACTATAGTTAGAAAACTTTGAATTTTGCTTTTGCTTCTCTGCCTAAAGGGTATTGAAGCCAGAAAGATCGTTTGTAGGGCACTTTCAACAATGCTGGTGAGTAGGAATGACAGCGATAAATTTTGTCGCCAACTTACCAAGTCTGGAAACAAAAATAGATATTTCTATAAAAGACTTCAGAGGATGATTATTGAAGCAATGCCACCATAGCTGGGTGGTTAGAGCACTGGTCTTGTAAGCCAGGAGGATGATAACTTCGATTCTTACTGGTGACTGTTAACTTGTAAAGTTGTATCGCCAAGCAGTACTCGTTTCCAACAAAAAAGTCTCCACATTCGCCTCTGATTTTCTCAGTATTCAGTCAGATACGAGTTGAGGGTTGCTTCAGAACCCGCATGCCCGAAGACCTATTCCGATGCTTCCTATTTTTTTAGATTATTTAAACAGAAATTTTTAGACGTTGCTAGAATAAACCTGTATATAGCCTATGTTGGCGCATGCGCGCCAACGTCATGCGCACAAATGCAAATATTCTTCCTTGCCGCGCTGTGCCGGCAGTTGAGAACTTTCTGTGGAACGATATAGACGAGATATTTTCTCTTTAATACTCAGACGTGAGCATTAATATAGGACTCGAAGCTCACAATAAAAATTACTTAAAATTTGCTGCGCTTGTAAATAGCATATATATGTGGGAGACAACAAGGGGTCCAAGACGTTTGTCTTTCTTCTATTTTATTTTAAAACTTAAACAAAAAATTAATTAAAAAGGTAGCTATTTTAACAGATAAGTTTGACGATGATATGCAGAAGGTAACGCCTGCTCGCGCACCTCTCTCGTTCTCTCTCTCTCTCCTCTCTTCAAAGTTTTGGTTCTGCTTTTACTAGTTCAAAAGTTTCCACAGTTTCAGTTCGTGTTTTAGTTAGCTGCGCCTGCGCGCGAAGATAGCTTTTGGCTTTATGCCACAACGGCCATTCTGACTGTACGCTGTCCGCAGCGGTACGTCCATGGAGACCAGAGAATCTGAAACATACAAAAAAGACGGAACAGACAAGGACTATACGACAAATACATAGAGATTTAACATATCATAATTCTTCTGAACTAGACAGTTTCTCCATCATGTGAAGGCACCTCTTCGACATCCGGAAGGTTCCACAGGAAAACATTGTGTTTCACAGGCATAAGAACGTCTTTTTTAACAAGTTGATCTTTGGTTGAACGCATCGATATTTTCCTCTGTAGAGTTCTGGACGTCTGTTCAAAACGATTTCTCTTTTTCCTCCGTTTCCACTGCCAGGGCTCAAAGATCCTTCGGAGCAACACAAACCGTCGATATTTACTCTTCATAGGTGAAGGGGTAGGAGATCGGGAGATAAATTCCACGGAACTCGTTTTCATGGCACCATTTACTTTCTTACACAATACTATATCAGAATATTTTTCTCTTATAATACTCAATTTTAACTTAGTACTCTTAATTTTATTACATTTATAATCCTTAATTAGAGAACTCAAATCATTTCTAGTATTAAAGTTTTTAATGGCAAATTAATTTAAGTGGCAAATCATAACTAGAGTTTTTTTTATCACATTTGAAACAGAAACATTTGGATTAAAATGAACATAAGCATGAGCACCTAAAGAGGATTCACTTTCATTCAATAAAACATCGCTCTTTGCGTGGCCTAGTTTTTTTATTTCAGAATATACACTGGGATGTATAATAATTTCTTCGGTCAAGGTCGGTGATATTGCCGTTCGAACACTTAGACAGGAAGAGTGTTGATTAAGAGAAAGATTTATCGGTTTAACTTCTACCATTCGCTGTTCGCCAAAACATGAACTTAATGTTATTATTTCTTCGGAAGGTGTTTGCACTCTAATTAGTGAGGAATTTAAAACTGGGATCTGGCAACCTGAATCGATCAAGGCTGTTACGGGCTGATTTTCCACAAAAATGTGTACATATTGAAGATTTGCGAACACATCGCTATTTTGTTTTTCGCTCTCGACTTTCAAAGTATTCACGTTTATTCTATTATGGATGTGGTCGTTAGATTCTTTAGGTTTAAAACGCTTCTCACAGTCTCTTGCGCAATGAGATGAATCGCCGCATATAAAGCAATTTTTATTTTCTCTTTCAAGATATTGGGGATAGTTCTCTTTAATCTTTGGTTTAAAGTTTTGTGATCTATTTTTAAAGGGGTCTTGGGTATATCCATAAGTAATAGGAATTTCTTTATGTGATCCGCTTCTAGATGAAATATAAATATCGCACTCTTTAGCTAAATCAATAGGCCTGAACCAATCTTCTGCTTCTCGAATGCCAATATGGGTTGCGGTTTCCTTATTTAAAGTTTCGAACTGTTTCTCTTCGACTTTAGCTGCAGGATTTAAACTTAATGCTTTATTTTTAGCCCTTTGAAGTTCGACTTCTTTTTCTAATTTTGCTACCTGAAGTTTCGCATGAGCTCAATTTTTCTGTTTTTCTAAAGTTACCTCTCTTTCGTTTCGCGATACTCTCTCATCTATACAGTTTTGAATTAAAGTTTTAACGAAATCTGGATCACTTTCAAATGTACTACTGTTCTCAATTTTAGTCTTTAGTTTAGCAATAGTGTCCGTACTCTCCACAGTACCGTCTAGATCATCAACAACTCATATGAAATCCTCTTTAAGAGCGTTTTTATACATTTTAGAAAAATATGGAAAGATCCTACCTTTTTTTTTCTAGCTCCCTTGTTACTCGCACGTACGATGTATCCAATAATTGAAGAAAAATTTCGATTCCACTGATGTCACCTCTTCGCAGGTAATATAGTTGAAATTGTTCGAATTGACACCTCTTCGCAGGTGTTTGTGGTATTTCCAACCTCTACACAGGCGGAATTTTCGACGATAGTTCCAACCTCTACACAGGCGGAATATTTAGGGTTCGATGAAAAATATAACCTCTACACAGGTTATTTTATTCAACAGTTCCAACCTCTACACAGGCGGAATTTTCATGCTGAGTTCAAACCTCTACACAGGTTGAACGAAGTTTTCGAAAAATGGCGGCGCGTCTCCTCCACGGACGGCTTTTGTTCACGTTCCAAACTTTGATCAAAATCGAAATTTTTTCAATCCCGGCCTCTACTCAGCCGGAGTATTCATGCTGAGTTCAAACCTCTACACAGGTTGAACGAAGTTTCCGAAAAATGGCGGAGCGTCTCCTTCACGGACGCTTTTGTTCATTGTCCAGACTTTGGTTCAAAATCGAAATTTTTTCGTTCCCGGTCGAGCCCCCATAATTTGTGGGAGACAACAAGGGGTCCAAGACGTTTGTCTTTCTTCTATTTTATTTTAAAACTTAAACAAAAATTAATTAAAAAGGTAGCTATTTTAACAGATAAGTTTGACGATGATATGCAGAAGGTAACGCCTGCTCGCGCACCTCTCTCGTTCTCTCTCTCTCCTCTCTTCAAAGTTTTGGTTCTGCTTTTACTAGTTCAAAAGTTTCCACAGTTTCAGTTCGTGTTTTAGTTAGCTGCGCCTGCGCGCGAAGATAGCTTTTGGCTGCATGCCACATATGTTGTGTGGCTAAATAAAAAAAGTAAAAAAGAAATAAGCGTGGCTGGTCCGTCGATGAAACAAAAACAACAAACTAAAAATAAACGATCTGGTTCCGCTCGTGCCAGGAGCGATCAATGGACTATGGATATGCAAAACAGATTAAAAGTACCTTGGAAGGTAAAATAAGCAGAATTGAAACGTTCATTGAAAGTGCCAACGAAGAAACCGATTCGGTTGAAATAAAAGTAAAGCTAAGAAGTTTGATTCAACTGCAAAAAAAAAAGTGGAGGAAATTCGCAACAACTATTACGCCATTCCGAATGTGAAAGATGCAGAATTAACTGCCATCAACGAAGATCGCCATCTTCTTCCGCCTTGAGTCATTAGAGGTAAGAATTGAAACTATTCTTAATTCCTCTAAGAAATCAAGTTCTGCGGCAGTAATGAAAAGAAATGATAATTTCGAAATAAAAACTAAAATACCTCCTTTAGTTTTTACCCGAGTTCTCGGGAAAATACGAAGAATTTAGTTCATTTAAAATCCAATTTGACGATCTGATCACAAATAACATACTACTGAGGGAATCTCAGAAGCTCTAATACCTCAGATCTTGTTTAACTCATGAAGTTAATTATTTATGTAGTAATTTTGATTCGTTATATGAATTTTTAGAACATAGATACGAAAATGAACGATTAATAATCAATATTTATATTCAAAATATTTTGAAGCTGGAAAAAATACAAAATGAAAATTCCACAGAAATTAGAAATATGATTGATTGCGTTCAAAAAAATTTACGAGCATTAAAAGTACTCAAATATGAGCAAAATAAATTATCCGATGTTTTACTTATTAATATTTTAGTTGAGAAACTTGATAGAGAATCGAGAAGAAATTTTCAATTATCACTTAAATCCAAAACCGTCCCTACATTTCAAGAGTTTATTGAATTCTTAGAACAACGGGAATCCGTTTTATTGTCTGTGTCTGTTGATAGAAATGCTAAAGTGAACCCAAATAAAATGTATGCCAACGATTCTAAGCCAAAAGCTTTTATAGTAAACGAAAATAAAAACAAAAATTGTATAGTGTGTAAGTCACAACATCCAATATATAAATGTCCTACTTTTTTAAAATTCAGTATTGACGAAAGACTAAAATTCATTCGCAAACACAAACTTTGTAATTTGTGTTTAAAATCTAACCATATTCAAATTAATTGCCTTTCCAAATATCGATGCAAATGCGGTGATTCACACAGTTATTAGATTTGTACTCCAAATTCTAATAAATCGAAAATAAGAAATCCTTTAGATAACGGAAATGAAAAAGAATATTGCGAAACAGTTAACAAGAATTCTAATCCGAATAATCCGACATCAGTGTTGAGTAATAACACATGGCCCGATCAAATAAATAAAAAAAATGTTCTGTTTTCAACAGCAGAAATATATGTTCGCAGAGCAAATAATCAAAAAATTAAATTAAGAGCTATACTAGATTCCGCGAGCAATATTTGTGTACTTACAGAAAGAATGAGTAATTGTTTAGGAATAAAAAAGGAAAAAATAAAGACACCAGTATCCGGTTTAAATGGATTATCACAGAAGATAAAATGGAAATTAAAAACAATTATTTCAAACGAAGATAGCAGTTTTGCTGAACCAGTAGATTTCTTGATTGTAGACAAAATAACTGAATTTACACCCTCC